GTTAACCCTATTAGACCAGTAAGATAAGTAAGATAAGATAAGATAAAAACACCCAGGGGAGCAGCATACAATCGAAGAGCCCTGGGGAAGAACGATCTAAGTCACTTTTTCAATGAACCCCAGTTAATGGCGCCATCTGGTAGCAAATTGTATAAGCTTTCTGTGGAGCGATCAATTTCAAGTAAAAACGATCGGAGTCACATCGAACCAAGGCCCTTCTGATATGGCCTCCTGGACAAATACGTCCATCGTATGCTTTATTTAACCATAATTTGCCTGAAAAGTGGAATTCAGCTGTTGTACTGGTAATTGATTCGTATTAAACATCATTTTAAAGTTGTAATTAAACCCACTCGTTGTTCTGTTCGCGTCAAGCATTCTCGTCCAAAAACCTTTTATGCGAAAAGACAAAAATGTGACTTAGATCGTTCTTCCCCTGGACTCTTTAATTGAATAAATTACACTTATTATATAGTACAATAAATATACATATAACTCAACACCGGTTGGGAGAAGTGGACATTACAGGAAAGTTACACATCTCAGAAAGTCTGTAACTGAATATTTAAAGGGACAATAACACTTTTGCTGGCTTGACAGCTCCAGAAAATAAAAAATAGCCCTATTCTAAGTACTAGATGTGTTAGTGTCTTACCTGTTGTGTAAATTATCCATTAAATCCTATTTTTAAATCCAGGTCACATTTGAAAAGCTTTTACGTCAGGCTTTTCAAATCATTTAGTTTAATTTTTCCAATTGTTTTAAATTAGGTGTGTTAAGATGAAATTTGTATCATCAATTACGGTGTAATTGGAATATTGTAAAATAGTACAATTTGTTGACCAGAATAAAGATTGGGACATATTATTCAGTTACGACAAGAGTGGTATTGAGTTTTTAAAATAAATATTAGAATTTCTCACCTGGAGAAAATAGACTTACATCACGGCCGTCGCGGCCAATAATAAGTTTGAGGGGTGGGATTTGCTCTCTTCGGACAAGGGGACGTGTATGCTGTTCAGAATCTTATTAAGTTGAACTGGTTGTAAAACGCCGACGATCGTTATGCAAGCTTAACTTTGGTGTCTAAAACCAAAGTTATGGTAAATACATTAGTTTGAATACACCAAACTCATGACCTGTCTTTGAGAAGGCTTTTTTTTAAAAGCCGACTTATTTTGGTCGTCTGAACTCTAACCGACGAAGTCAAATAATACAGCTGACTTGGCTTATATCACGTGTGAACTCTCCGCTACCGTGGCTTAAAAACGCAGGCGTTTTTGAATTAGCTTAAAGCGAGAATTTCATATTTTCTAAGAAAGTCAAAACATAATTATTTCTATGTCTTTTGCTCAATAGGTTATCAACTCACTATTATACGATCATGGGCATTATTTCCCACCCTTAAAAATCATTGACACAGGAAATAATAACACAATTACCTCCCTTGTTTTCCTATTACCTCCATGGAATAGCTATGTTCAAACGTTTGAATTTAATGCTGAAAATGATATTTTTGCCAATTTCTCAGCTGGCAATAGGAAATTATAGGATTAATAGGATTATTCTTTAACAAGGTAGGACTGTTTATAGATACCATCTATTTTAAGGCTTTATTTTAATAAATTTTAAAAATATAACTTAAAAATATGAAATTGTAGCTTTAAATATAAGGATCTGAAAGGTGATATAACGATCAACCAACTATGGGGAAATTAAGAAATCTGATATGAAAAATGGCGAAAAGGCAAGAAATTTTCTCTTAAAAAGGAAGTAAAGCCGGTCGAATTACAATTTAAAAATCTTGAAACAAATGTAAAGTATTCGCGAAAGGTCGACTTGGGATAATTAAGGTTACTTCAAAGACACGTTAACTAAATCATTTATACGAGAGAACATTCATTAGACATGTCTGTCGAAAGCAGATCTTTCCATTTTACTGTGTATGACAATTCCCAATGCAAATACAAAATGACTATTAAAATGAGAATATGATGGGCTTTTTAACCACCCCATTAATGTTGTGTTATCTATTAAAATATGTCGTAAGTGGTTTTGACAATTTTATTAGCTTATTGTATTTTGTTTCCCCCAGATGTATTTCATGCCTTTATGTTCAAAGTTCAGCACAAAGAAAATGATATATCACGTATCAACCTGTGATATCCATAGATGATATTGTTTTGTACACGGTTGTACGTGACAAGGAGTAGGGTCGCCTGTCCAACCTCGTGGGTTTTCTCCGGGTCCTCCGGTTTCCTCTCACTGCTAAAGACCCATACGCGCAAACGAATTATTGAAGTAATGTTAGTCCCGAAATGACCTAGTTTGTGTCGAGTGAACGTTAAACCCCATCTCTCTCTCTCTCTCTCTCTCTCTCTCTTTAAACACAACATACAAGTCAGAAGATATGGGAAACATATTTGAACAGATCATTAAAATTTAGATTTCGATCAATGTATAAAATACGATGTCTCAAGAAGGGACTGTCTCTCGAAAATTCCGGTCAATAAGAAGGGGTTTATCGTTCTAACCCGCCCTCGGAATAGCCATAACAAGTCGGTGCAATGCGAAATGCGCATCATCTACATAGTCAAGATACTGGTATTATGAAACAATACGCCGTTTCCCCGCTCTCACTCAATAAGAATCTAAGTTATCGGGCTCCAAAGTTTGGAGCAATCCCGTTGCTTATCCCGAAATGACCTAGTTTGTGTCGAGTGAACGTTAAACCCCATCTCTCTCTCTCTCTCTCTCTCTCTCTCTCTCTCTCTCTCTCTCTGTAAACACAACATACAAGTCAGAAGATATGGGATACATATTTGAACAGATCATTAAAATTTAGATTTCGATCAATGTATAAAATACGATGTCTCAAGAAGGGACTGTCTCTCGAAAATTCCGGTCAATAAGAAGGGGTTAATCGTTCTAACCCGCCCTCGGAATAGCCATAACAAGTCGGTGCAATGCGAAATGCGCATCATCTACATAGTCAAGATACTGGTGTTATGAAACAATACGCCGTTTCCCCGCTCTCACTCAATAAGAATCTAAGTTATCGGGCTCCAAAGTTTGGAGCAATCCCGTTGCTTATCCCAGGCAAAAATGATCTTTATCGAACTCGGTTAAAGGGACCATTCCGATTTTAACAGAGTCGCAGAAATAAAAGTCCGTGTAGGTATGTAATTTAAACGCCAAAATATAGAGTAATGATGTATTTAACTTGTCTCAAAATTTCAGCTCAAAATGTTGAGTCATTTGGACGTGAACGTTAAAACCACTTATTTGGACACGTAACTCTTTTAAGACTTCGGGTCAATTTTTTCGTTGGGATACCTGATAATCTATTGTCGCTCTTTTATAGGTCTATACAGTACATGACTCACGTGCTGTACTTTATAACGAAGCTAACTTTCAACTACACGTTATTTTCCAGATGAAGACGGACAGGTTTAGTTGCTTGAAAACGTATCACAGGATTTTAAGGGCTTTTAACACAAAATTAAGCAGTTTTATTCTCCAAAATATAATCGAGATTGGTTCTTTAAGGTCTTGACGTAATTAAAATATAACCTAAGTTTGATCACCACCCCCAAGCATTCACAAATGAAATTGCTCATCACTGCTAAGTCTAAGCAGGAAAAGACCATCATGAACCCAGTGAATGCATTTACCTAATTAACACCGACACCACATTCTTGCTTATTATTAATGTTCTTGGTGAATAAATCAAAATAGAGAGGTGTCAGGGTTTTGTTTAGAGAAATAGTTAAAACCCAGCTTGTAAACATAGCCTTATAGCATTAGATGAATCTTTAAATTTAAATGTCCTATGAGGGAAATTTTGCCCAGGCAGCGGCACTATGGCCTACTCTTATATCGAATTCCAACTGTCAAGGGATCTTTTACGTACACGCCAATGTGTACACGGGACCTCGGTTTTTCGTCCCATCCGAACGACTAGACAGCTGTCCTTGTCAGACCCTCCGTCCTGCATCACTGACAAGGGGAACCACGCCGGAAAATCTGGATGAAGTTTCTCGGCCAATGCAGGGATCGAACACCCGACCTCCAGGCTAGCGATCCAGCGTCTTACCCACTTAGCCACCGTGATCACCTGAATTTAAATGCAATTACATCCCAAATACTATAGCACACTGACAGAACTATTAATGTCCTATTGTGTTTCTGAAAATCCAGTTAATAATTAATTCATCGTGCCATAGTTGATTTAACAATCATATTAGTCGTTGTGTTAGCTACTTGTCAAACTGTCAGGTCATAATTTAACATTATTCATATAAACGTTCTCGTCTCTGCATTATCTTGGAGAAGCTTATTCACATTTTCGTCATGACGTGAACTATTGGGCAGTTATTATCAGAAATGAAATAGGGTTTAACATCCGACTGGGCTAATGAAGACGGGCACACGCCATACAGTGTGCTATGAGGGAAATTTTGCCCGGGCAGCGGCAAAGGGATCTTTTACGTGCATGCCAGTGTATACACGAGACCTATTACAATGCGTTTCTCTCAATGACTTGGAGAATAAGAGAGAGAAATGGGGTTTAACGCCTACTCGACACAAAGTAGGTCATTTCGGGACTAACATATGGTTCAATGATTTATTTCAATAATTCGCTTAAGCGTAGGGGTGTTTTGCAGTGGGAGGAAACCGGGGGACCCGGAGAAAACCCTCGAGGTTGGACAGGCGACCCTACCCCTTGTCACGTACAAGCGGGGAATCGAAACCACACCAGTTGACTCAATGACAGATCTTATGCTGTCAACGCGCACGCGTTAAACCACTAGACCCCCCCCTCCCCAATTAACTTGGAATTTGTAGGTGCTGCAGCCAGGAAACAACGTCTCGTTTAGTAGCATTAACATGAACCACACAAGATTTTAGTATACTGCTGTTCTCTTAAAAGGAATGAATGAAATTTCTTTAATTCTAATACATATTGATGTCTTTAACGTCACTACGATATAGGAAGATATAATGCATACAACATATAGGTAACTTGTCTAAAATGGCATCTTAGCCTGTTTAGGAACTTCTCTATTAATGTTCAGTTTAGCTTGTTTGGCTGAATCATCCTCACTTCTGTTGTACGGACGGTGCAAATTATCTCTGCAAAGCGTAACTCCAAAACCAGGTCGATCAGGAAGATCAATAAATCCATTTTCCGGCAATGGTTCATCAGTGAAGATTCCACCGAAGTAGGGAACAATAGTATCTGCTTTAGGACTTAGGTTGATATATTCAGCTAGTGGACAATTTGAGAATGCATATTGGAGGTGGTAAGAATAGATACTAGAACCATGAGGAATAACAAGAATATCCTCAGCAGATGCCATAGCTACAACTCGCCTCGCTTCAGTTATTCCACCTAGCCACGTAATATCCGGTTGAATGATGTCCACGCATCTTGAACTCAACAGTTGTTTAAAACCATAGCGGCTGTACTCGTGTTCACCAGTTGTTAGAAGAACATTAGAACCCCTCAGTGCTTCCCGCACGTTGTTGTAACCATCATAATTATCAGGTGGAAGATATTCCTCAATCCATTTCAGTCCAAATGGTTCTAAAGCTTTAGCTAGTTTTACTGTATAAGGTACGGTCAAGGCCATGTAACAGTCCAGACTTAACGGAAAGGAATCGCCGACAGTTTCTCTCCACTTTCTGAAAAATTCAACATTTTTCTTGAAGCCTTCATCACCCTCAGCTGGTCCATGTGGACATGGAATTTTTGCACCCACAAACCCAAACTGTTTAGCTAAATCTGGCCTGGCGGTAGTCGAATAAACAGGTAGACGATCTTTGGTCTTTCCACCAAGTAAAGCATAAACTGGTTCCTTGCGTATTTTGCCCAATAAATCCCAGATAGCAATATCCACAGCACTAATCACTTGCAATGGTAGGCCCTTTCTACCATAGTTCAGTGTAGCACGAAACATCTGATCCCACATTAGCTCAACATTCCGCGGATCCTGTCCTTCTACGAACCGACTAAGGTGCTTTTCAGCTATGTAGCATCCTGGCTCTCCACCTATTGTCACACCTACACCAATATTACCATCATCAGACTCCACTTCTACAATCAAAGTACCTAAAGCATTGATTCCCCAAGATTTTCTTGTTTTGGCATACTGTGGATAACCAGACATTGGGTTGGCGATAGGCGTGCCAGCTCCATTTATCCAATGTTCGTCATCTACATCATGACAATCCGCCCCTTGATCTCCGCTGGAACCCTTTACAATGTATGCCCGTAGAGCTTTGATGAAGGGAAATATTCCGACGTGTTCTTCAGACATTTTAGGTATCCTTCGATGTGAAAACTTAATTAACTATCTTTTGGGTATATTTTCTCCTTGACCCAGACATAATCAGCGGCTTTAAGTTGAGATAAAACTGATAACAAATTAGGTTATATGATAATAACAGTTTTGAAATAGTCAAATAATTGTCGAATATAATACAAGGGCGGGTGTATACTTACGTAAAACAGGCAGGGTGGCTCATTAACCAGAAAGTTTCTGCTACAGGAAGGAGTTCCTGGCAACGAATCTCTTCTAGTCGTACGAGTGGGACGAAAAATCCTAATACCGTGAACGTAAAACAATCCGTTGGCAGTTCAATTTCGAAGAATAGTTGAAGCGGAAAGCCCGCTGTCCGGGCAAAATGTCTCTCAATAGCAGACTGCATGGCATATGCACGTCTTCATTATATATGTTGGTGCAGAAGAGTAGGACGTTAAAACTTATTTCATTTAAAATATTTAAAGGTGGAAAGGTTATCGCTTTGGCGAATAATAAAATTACAGTCACATACGGGGATTAAGCAATGTTTGCATATAATATTACCTTCACTGGCCTAAAGAGAATCTCTTTATCTTTGGCGGTTATGTTTGTTTGTTTGTTAGGCATAAATGCAAGCCCTGTCTTCATTAGTCCGGGTGGAGAGAGAGAGAGAGAGAGAGAGAAATGGGGTTTAACGTCCACTCGACACAAACTAGGTCATTTCGGGACTAACATATGGTTTAATTTTATTTCAATAATTCGCTTGCGCATAGGGGTCTTTAGCAGTGGGAGGAAACCGGAGGACCCGGAGAAAAACTCACGAGGTTAGACAGGCGACCCTACTCCTTGTCACGTACAACCGGGGATTCGAAACCACGCCAGTCGACTCAATGACAGACTTTATGATACAGCGCGCGAACGCTAACCATTCAGCCATCCAACCCCCCAGTCCGGGTGGAAAGTGGAGCGTTAAATGGTTGCATATGTTTCCAACTCTCTTCAATTAGCTTATATTCAGGAAAAGTAATCTAAATACATATCACTGGAGCCTTGTTAAATGATATTTAATCGACGATTTTGCTTTTAAGGGGTTGAGTTTGACTTAAAGTTATGTTCGTTTAGGTTTAAGACCATTTTGTCTATACCCCGTTTGAATAAGCGGGTGGACTATTTTAATGGACCTCTTTTAAATCGGATTGAATCCCAACCGAGAGATTGTCTAATGTTGATATTTTGTTTACTAAATCAAATATTAAATAACCCTTCTGGATACATTTTGGTGTGGATAAAAACGTTGAAAATTTGATATTTTTCGAACAAATTAAATAAAGCATAGAGGGTCTAATAAAGTGGATATGCATAGAAATTGAAAGAAGACTTACAAAACATTATCCAACTTTTCGGGTCGAGGAAGGATGCTTTCTATTTTTGACGGGACCTGTAACTGCCGTGTTACCTTCAGCAGCTCTGTTGGACATTGTTGTTAGGTCACCATTTACATTTTAAAAAATAACACTTTAAACAAACAAGTTTTTTAATTTCAAAATTAAAGTATTTACATTTCTATAAACAGATCACAGTTATTTTATTGTACATGATACCTTTATACTATTATCATTATATTCCATATTTTTCGGGGGTTTTTTTGACAATTTTCTCTTAAAACCATCCCAAAAATACCTTCTTTTTATTTTATTCCATATTTTTCGGGGTTTTTGTGACAATTTTCTCCTAAAACGTTCCCAAAAATACCTCTTTCTTTTTTTACAAATTATACTTTTTTCATGTTTAGTATATTGTTAATACATGTCCGTGCTACAATAAATATTTCATTTTCCCTCACAATTCATAAAAAAGCCAATTTTCCGGGGTTTTTTTTTTAACTTTTTTTACGAATTTCTTTTAAAAACATCCCGAAAATACCCTTTCCATAAAATTTTATTAAGGTATACTTTTAGTACGTTGCTAATACAAGTCCATGCTCCATTTTACACTAAGAAAAGCTTGTGTTGCAATAAGTTGCAAGTTCGGCAATTTCAATGCTAGATTGACATAGCCCAACAAATGAACAGCAATGGGTAACTACATGCATCATGTTGATGGCATTATCCCCCATCCCGTCCTCACCCGACCCCACGTTAGTCAGATTAATCAAGAGTATTACAACATTAATAAATATTATTTGCTATGACCTTAAGTTTTGCCATCCATATTCCTGGAATAGTGTTCCAGCCCATACATTGACAGTAAGACAGTTCTCACTTGTTTTTCTTAGTTGATTTATTCTTTGGTTTGGTCCGTTGTCTCAATATATCTTACTTGATTTATTCTTTGGAATATTTCATGTATTCCGATTAATTCTAATCCAATTTACCAAAAACACATCCATTCAACTGATCAATTTGTCTTTTGTTGAAAAGGGTTAATCATTCGCCATAATCATAGGTACCTGGGAAAGATAGTAGTCTGATAAAGGTCATCACCATTGGCCTCCACAAAACTTATTTTGAGTCTATCAGAGTTTGCATCTATAAAACAGAATCCACCTTTACTGTCCTCATCACCAAAATGGAACTTAGAAGAATCATCTGGAACTTCCGCTTTATTGTCAGTATTACTATCCACGTAACTTGCAGCACCAGAAACAATAAAATCTAAAGTCACGTTTTCTTTACTCGTCTGTAAATGCTGTGGAAGGAATAAAATTTTATGATACATCATTAATAGCAATCTGTTTCAAGGAGGTATTACGAAAGTCTTCTAATGTTAACTACTTTCAACACGTGACATCACATCACGCGGCGTCAATCATTGGCACATTGGCGCGTGCATTGTTTACATGGGACGTTATGTTTTTACCTACATAAACTTCAAACACCTTTATAATGATTAAAAAACATGTTTTAAAATTTAATTCACAGATGGAAAAAAGTTAATATCGCGTGCTCATTAAGCCGCACCAATATCATCCCATCAGTGCAAATTGTAGCGGCCTAGCGAATAATCAGTTCTGATCAGTGTGCATTAGCAGGTCTAGTGTCTAAACCTTATCACAATTAAATAAATAGTCGGCCATTCAGTTTAAATACCAATCCTATAATAACCTGCAATCGATTGAACCATTTGAAAGATGTATAGTAAAATTGCGTTCCAATAACAAGTCATTGGTTCACAGCCTGAAGAACTGCAAATAGTAAACAATCATCGGAACCGTGTTCTTGTTAGTGACCTAGTTCCATGCACACTGATCAGCAGTGAATTTTCGCTAGGCCGCTACAATCACTGATAAGGATGACATCGATGCGACTTAATGAGCCACAAATATTAACTTTTTTCCTCTGACAAATTAAATTCTAAAACATTTTTTTTTATGTATCAGAAAAATAAATAAAGCCGTTTCAAGTATTTGTAGGTAAAAAGTATTTCCTATTTAGTGTAAATGGGTATTAAAATGAGTAAACGGCACCATTTTGTCCGAACCAGAGATATTAGAAGACTTTCGTAATCACTTGTCTAGAAACCCCGTACCCCTCCCCTTTAACATACGTAACCGACACGTAAGGTAATTAAAATCGCACAGGGTAAAAGTTAATTATTTCTAAGTGTCGCATAGCTAATAACATTGGGGTCGTGAGCGGCTGAATCTATTTGTTAAAGTCAGCACAATTTTCGTCAAGGTCGCTGAGGTGTAAAGAGGGTTAGGGCACGTGATTGTTGGCGAGATTGTAGGTAAGGTTTAGCGTTAGCCCTGTTTACATCTCGTGTCCTTTGACCAAACTTGAAGTTGGCCTTATCAACTAGATCTAGCCGATCGTGAGCTTTGTTTTCAACGCATCCGTGCCATTGCTCAGGACGGAGGGCCTGACAAGGACAGCTTTCTAGTCGTTCGGATGGGAGGAAAAAACAAGGTCCCGTGGACACATTGACATGCACGTAAAAGAGCCATTGGTGGTTAGAATTTTCCTCCTCATCGCACACCGTATGGCGTATGTCCGTCTTCATCAGCCCCGTCTGAGCAGAACAGTAGGACGTTAAACCCTATTTCATTTCATTTCATTCACGCTCTTTATTGGAATTGAGCTAATCATCTTGAACTGAGAAGGTATATTCTCCACTTCAGAATGATGAACACTGTTGGTTAAGTATTTATTAAAAGGATGCTAAATTATAGTTAATCCTACGGGTACAGAATGATGAACACTGCTAGGTAAGTAGATAGTTAAACCTACCTGTAAGCAATGATCATGACCAGCGAAATGACCATTAGCTGTATATTTATATAGTAATGGCAGCAGTTTATCTTCTAAACAACTACGTCCACCATGCCAGCCTATAGAATAAATAGGATGATGACCTGCAGTGAATAAATATTTGGCACTGAAAAAGAAAACAAGCAGTTGTCATACAAGAGAGAGAGAGAAATGGGGTTTAACGTCCACTCGACACAAACTAGGTCATTTCGGGACTAACAGATGGTTTAATTTTATTTCAATAATTCGCTTGTGCGTAGGAGTCTTTAGCAGTGGGAGGAAACCGGAGGACCCGGAGAAAACCCACGAGATTGGACAGGCGACCCTACTCCTTGTCACATACAACCAGGGATTCGAAACCACGCCAGTTGACTAAATGACAGACTTTATGATACAGCGCGCGCGTGCTAACCATTCAGCCATCCAACCCCCCAAGTCATACAAGTAAATAAAATAAAACCAAGTACGAACAATCCAAACCATAAGACAGAATTCGAAGTCCCACATTTTGCAAGACATGAATAGAGAACTGTGAAACTCGACAGGGTTCGTCCTTTAGAATATGGCCACTACTCACATTAATTGTATTATACACGCAATAAATTCTTTAATTCTTTTTTAACTATGAATAGAACTGAACTTACTTGCTATTTTTGAGATTTCTTTCAATCCATTCCCATTGATTGTCCCTCTGTTCTCTGTCATCTGTTTCACATAACAACACTGTATCTATCATCAGTATATCAATGGTATCAGAGGTTCCAGGTATATTAAAAGATTGTGAATAATACAGATGAGGAAAGTTCCTATATTACAAGTGAAACAAAAACCACTCGATTAATTCATCATTTTACAGTGGTATTGAATGACCTGATATAATAATCCAAACTGGAAATACAGGATCGAGAGTCACGGTCTTTAAGTGCGTAAGACTTAGATGAAAAAAACCCACTCAATTAATTCATCATTTCACGGTATTATTGAAAGACCTAATATAAAAACATAAACTCGGAATACGGGATGGATAAAAATCCCTACCCTATTTAAACAAGATGACACCATGACAAAGACATGGACGTGACGTGGGTACCTCTATTGTCAGTTGGTTATAAAGACGCCTCCATCGTGATTTAATTGATAACTGTTCCATCTCTCCAATATTAATGTTGATATTCCAACTTTTCAAATGAGTTACGTTAAATATTTCAGCCGTAAATTCTATACAATATTATAGCGCCAATTGGGTTCAAATTGCTAATAAGGAAAGGCGTTCATATATCGTTGGATTTGGATTTTTTTTGCTATCTTTCTAGGTGCACCTAGGGTGGCTGAATGGTTAGCACGTGTGCGCTGAGTCAACTGGCGTGGTTTCGAATCCCTGGTTGTACGTGGCAAGGAGTAGGGTCGCCTGTCCAACCTCGTGGGTTTTCTCCGGGTTCTCCGGTTTCCCCCCACTGCTAAAGACCCCTACGGGCAAGCGAATTATTGAAATAAAATTAAAACCATGTGTTAGTCCCGAAATGACCTAGTTTGTGTCAAGTGGACGTTAAACCCCATTTCTCTCTCTCTCTCTCTCTTTCTAGGTGTATCTTTCTCGGGAAAGGATGTCCACGAGCTCGATGGTCTTTATTTAAAGATGCATTATGAGAGATTAGATAAAGAGCTGGCAGTTCTCACTATAATAATTAAAAACTAGATAATGTTACGGGCATTTGCTGAACATTTCGTCAAATTGATCCACTCTGAACCGAGAATTTAGCGATTGAATTTTGGGATGGACTCGATCATCATTACTAAAGTCGGCCCGATTACCCATTTTTGAACTTAACCATGAATGATCGTTGAGCTGCAGATCGGATTATAATCCAGTAATTATCGCAGGCTAGCGATGACATCGAGAGTTGATTATGTCTAATTAATAATTTAGATAACATTTCAGGCCTAAAGAAAGACCTGCCATTGGCAGATGTAGCTCTTGCATAATGTATGTTTAATAAGTTATCCAAAAGGAAGGCCGTTAGCTGTTTGTGGGGTGTGAAATAAGAAGTTGAAATAATTACCATCGTTTGGATACTTTTGTGTAGGCGATCTGTGCTGAAACGTTGCCATGGTAATCATGATTGCCTGCTATAAGATACCAAGGTATATTTATAGCGGCACTTGTAAAAACATTTTCAAATGTATCCTGCAATATAGTTAAAGGCGTTGAAAACAGAGTAATATACAAACTGATTCTATTTAAAAACTCACTGAAATCTTGTTAATAACACAGTCGCCGTCTCAACGTTCTATATAGTCTTATGCTGTGTAGAAAATCAAAACACAGTATATATTTCGTTTCGTTATCTATAGGGTGGTTGGATGGCCGAATGGTTAGCACGTGCGCGCGCTGTATCATAAGGCCTGCCATTGAGTCAATTGACGTAGTTTCGAATCCCCGGTTGTACGTTACAAGGAGAAGGGTCGCCTGTCCAACCTCGTGGGTTTTCTCCGGGGCCTCCGGTTTCCTCCCACTGCTAAAGACCCCTACGCGCAAACGAATTATGTAAATAAAATTGGACCATATGTTGATCCCGAAATGACCTAGTTTGTGTCGAGTGGACGTTAAACCCCATTTCTCTCTCTCTCTCTCTCTCTCTCTCTCTCTCTCTCTCTCATTTTTCGGATACATTTATTTGTTCAAAAAGGGAACCACGGTGGCTCGCTGAATATGGCTTGGGCTCACTAACCAGGGGGCTGTTTCACAAAATTTTAACTAAGATAAAATCAAAATTTTAGTAATTTGATTTTATCTTTAGTTAAGATTTCGAGAAACAGGGCCCAGGAGAATCGTTCGTTTCTGGTGTTGGCCGAGAAAATTCCCCGGGATTACCATGCCTGGGGTTCCCCTATCAGTGATGCAAGATGCGGGTTTGACATGGAAACAGTGTCTAGTCATTCGGGCGGGATTATAAACCGAGGTCCCCATTAGCAGCCATTAACAGTTGGAATTTGTGAAATGAAATGGGGTTTAACGTCCTACTGTTCTGCTCCTATACTGGGCTATACTGTGCTATGAGGGAAATTTTGCCCGGGCAGCGGCACTATCGCATACTCTTATATGGAACAGTTGGAATTTGTAAAAGAGTAGTCGGAAGCAGTCTCCTTAACAAGATTTCCCTCATAGCACACTGCATAACGTGTGCGGGACTTTATTAGTCCGGATGTTGCAGAAAAGCATGTGTTAAATCCAATTTAATTTCACCTATTCGTTCAACAAGGAAATCATGTTTGGATGACAGCTGGTATTGTGCATGGGAGACGACTCTATTCAATGGTTCTTGTTTTGGAAAATAAGCCACTTGTGTATGGAAGCCTATAACTACCATTCATAATTTCTACTTTTCGCCTCTTCAGAACACGAAAGTCGAAAAGTCGAAAAGTAGAAGTTACCATCAATAAATACAAAAATATGACTAAATCGAAAGTCGACAAGACGGTATACAAGCCAAAATGCAAGTCGAAAAGTAAGAATTAAGAAAAAACGGGGGGCGCTATTATCGCGGTGTGTTATTTCTTAATTTCCTATTTTCGAGTTGATTTTGGCTTGTATACCGTCTTGTCGCCTCACATTTTGTCGTAACTTCTACTTTTCGACTTTCGTGTTCTGAAGAGGCGAAAAGTAGAAATTATGAATGGTAGTTATAGGCTTCCATACTTGTGGTTTGACGTCCCACTTTTCTGCGCGGACTGGACAAATGAAGCTGGTGTGCTGTGGGGTAAATTTGCCCGGACAGTGGTGCTAGGTATGGCCTACTCTTATTTTAAATTCCAACTGTCAAGAGTTCTTATACGTGCACGCCAATGTGTACACGGGACCCCGGATTGTCATCCCAGCATGCATCCACTGATAAAGGGAAAACACTCGACCAACACCGGGATCTTCTGGTTAGTGAGCCACCGCCTTAATCATTGAGCCCCCGCAGCTCCGCTATGTAATGGCAGAATAGTACATGAAGAGTCCCGGGGAAGAACGATCTAAGTCACCTTTTCAATGAACCCCAGTTAATGGCGCCATCGGGTACCAAATTGTATAAGCTTTCTGTGCAACAATCTATTTCAGGTAAAAACGATCTGAGTTACATCGAACCAAGGCCCTTCTGAAATGGCCTCCCGGACAAATACAAGTCCATCGCACCCTTTATTTAACATGAATTTGCCTGGAAAGTTGAAGTCAGTTGTACTGGTAATTATGGTTCGTATTAAACATCATTTAGAAGTTGTAATTAAACCCACTCGTTGTTCTGTTCGCGTCAAACATTCTCGTCTTTATGCGAAAAGACAAAAATATGATTTATTTAGATCGTTCTTCCCCTGGGCTCTCCATGTATTATGGTATCACCTATAACGTACGCTTGTATAAAGAATCAAGTTTTAATATAGGTCTTTACCTGAAATCGAGGATCATTGACTGTTTCTACTCCATCAAAATAGAAGTTATCACCAAGTGCCAACACAAATTCTGGATGTTCCTTTTCAGCTAGTTGTTCCATTTGCCTTGCTGTGCTAACACTTGTTTCCGTAGTGTAGGGAAACTCTGAGGTGCCTCCCCAGTCCCCAATCACTAAGAATTTGAGACCATGGGAGTTAGCACTGGTTATCAAGTATCCTTTTAAAATAAAAACACGACATTTAAAAAAAAAAATAACAGACATATCCTATCTTTTAAAGGCTTTTTGTTATATAACACAGATAACTTTGTGGATGCAGGTTTATTAACTGCAACGTTTTAATGGGGATACTCTCACCGTTATCAAGCGTACTATGGACAAGGGACAGCGTGTGACGTCATCACGGCCATTTATGAATTGAGACGTCATATCAAAAATCAAAATCCGCCCATCTATGCACAATTGTCAAAGGAACAGCCATGCCAAGTTTCCTGTCGGTAGTACTTAAATTGGCGGAGCCTTAGATTTTTTAGAAGAGTGTCACCCAGCTCCTAGTCCAACAAATGTATGTGCTTCTGTGCATTATCAACTTTAAAGGGAGAGAGAGAGAAATGGGGTTTAACGTCCACTCGAAACTAACCAGGTCATTTCGGGACTAACATATGGTTCAATTTTATTTCAACAATTCGCTTGCGCGTAGGGGGTCTTTAACAGTGGGAGGAAACCGGATGACCCGGAGAAATCCCACGAGGTTGGACAGACGACCCTACTCCTTGTCACGTACAACCGGGGAATTTCCACCAGGCCAGAAGTAAGCTGGGTGCTGATCAGACTGCAGGCAAGAACCTCAGTGTTAAAGCACACCATCTGCTTAGTGAATCTGTCTTTACTAATTACCTCTAAGGACATGTTTTTATTTGTTCATTCCCAAATGGCACCCGATACCATAGGGTACACGACTCGTGTACAGGCCCCGAGTTCACAAAGCATTCTCAGACACAAGTTGAGAATTTGCTCAACTTTCAATCACTGTTTATGACAAATATCTTTGATGCAGAAATACAAAACTTTGCACATAGTTTCTTATTGATGTATCTGATACATTCAAACAATAAAATTATTATAAAGGGCTATATTTTAGTTAAAATAAGGTGAACAAGTTTGAGTAAATTCTCAACTTAAGTCTGAGAATGCTTTGTGAACTCGGGGCCTGATTACAAAATGTTAATTGTGTCTTAATTATTGAATATTGGGATGCTATAGTTTCATGGCAAGATAACAACATCAATATTAATTGACTTGTATCAATATTAATTGACTTGTATCAATATTAATTGACTTGTATCAATATTGAATTCTAATTCCTGTTTTTAATTTCAAGTATTATAGAAAATATTGAGTTTTTCTTTACTCGTATGTCGTTTAGTTCTTGAATGTTGCTAACCATGCCCATGTTTACATATTCAGGACTTAATCATACCCCCCCCCCCCTCAACCAATTGTCATGGTATGGTTTGCCATGGCTCAGATATACTTCAAATCGATTCTAGCACTTGTCGCAACCCATCCCACCCTCAAAGTGCCCAAAGTGCTGCCCACCCCACTTCGGAGGTCTCAGCACGCCTATGTGCTTCATTAATTATTAGAGATAATTGAGGGAAATTATATGACGTTTTACCCTAAACGCAACCCCTTGAAAATAATTGAAATCCGCGTATTTAAGAAGAATATTACAATACATTTGTTTTAAATAAAATCTGAGTGAAAGTTGAATCTTTAATACGAAAACCAGTCCAATAATGGTTCAATTCCACCAATTTATATAACCAGACAGTCGCCATCTTTATTTGCCGTGAACCAAATTCTTGGGCCGGATTTTAATCTGACTGAATCCAAGCAGGGTGGTTATCTGGCGTTGGTTTTTCAGGGGGAAAGGGGACAGAAATGGAGGGCCGATAAAATTCCCGTTTAGATTCCTCCGAGCGGGCTTAGCCGGTCGCCAAAAGTCGCAAAGCTTGGAAGATGCTAATTTAGCCCTTGAATTAAGCGACCAGCAATTCCAATAAAACTATAGCCTTATTTTTTATGGTATTGGAACCGAAATCACACTATGTGCCCATCTGAATTTCAGATTACAGTGGACAGGGGGCAGAAATAAAATTCCCGATTGTAAAGCGCACAGTCGGCGAATATCTTTGGGGCGCTAATTCAGTCCGTAAACACAGCTAACTCAATGTGCTCAAATATAACCTTAATTATACGGTTCTGCGAAATAAATTCAACACACTGCGTATCTGACCTAAATCAGTTAAATTCACAGAAATTTACGTCCCGACAAACTAATAAAACAAATAAATGAGGGACGCCAGACGGTGTTTATTACACTGACTTTAAATGTTTTATCCTTCGGATGAGACGAAAAACCGAAGTCCCGTGTATACATTGGAATGCACGTAAAAGATCCCTTGGCAGTTGGAATTCGATATAAGAGTAGGCGATAGTGCCGCTGCCGGGCAAAATTTCCCTCATAGCACACTGTATGGCGTATGCCCGTCTTCATTAGCCTATTATAGGAGCAGAACAGTAGGACGTTAAACCCCATTTCATTTCATTTTATCCATTAGTTAAAGATACATTATGTAAGATTTAGATAAAGAGCTAGCCATTTTTGCTAAATAGTTCGAAAACAGATAATGTAAAATGAATAATTTGATTCAAATTACTCTATTGTGAGCGTTGAAGGCTGGGCAAGACGTATGCAATTATTGCAACCACCGTACTAGTTGTTCGAAGCTAAGTCTCGCTCCTCCATTTTTTTTTTAGCTTAAATCAAAATATGGCTGAACTGTTCTAATCTATTTAATATCGGAGAAATCCTATGCCATCGAGAGTTGATTACGGTCTGGATAAGTTAATTAATGTCTAATTATTAATTTTAATAACATTTCAGGCCTAAAGAAAGATCTGTAATGGGAAGATTTAGCTCTTGGATAATGTATGTTTAAGTTAAAATCCGAAAACTGTCGCACAATGCAGATTGGCTTCAGACCAAAAAAGTAATGGGATTTCAGGCACTTTATTTTGTTGACTAGAAGGCAAAATAATTTATTTTTTCTGTTGTTGTTTTTTGTTTGTTTGTTTTTTACAAGAAATATTATATTTCATATTTATTTTTCACATTGCCCACCTACACGGAACAGACCGACATAGTGTCAAATTAGTTAAGAGACACGCTGTTTTGGGTTAACTAACATGGCGTCGATGACTTCACCAAAATGACGCCATGCCGCTCCAAGTCATTAAAACATTATGATACTACTACACGAAAAGCTAGTGGGTTTATTCGGTATCCTTTATTGGCATAAATATATTATGGATTAAATATTTGGGGAAAATTGGATTTATTTTAAAGAGGAATTAGTGCTAGAGATCGCCGTCACTGGTAACATAAATTCAACAGAAGGCAACGTAATGGATAACCTACTGTTCAGGCACAACTAAGTAAAAATCTTTTTCTAGCCAAAATATTTTTTCATCGATAAATTTGGGTAAAATGTAACAGTCATCCTAAATTTGTCCAAGAAATCACTTCAAAATGTACTCTAAAGCCAACAATTTATCACAAATTAGAAGAATGCCCGGCTTCGCTCGGGGGGTCATAACCCCGAAACCGGAAGTGGTAGACTAATGCCACCTCGCCTATGTTACTCCCCGGTCCGAGCTACTCCTATACCCCAAATTTCAGACTCGGGGCAGACCTAGTGTAGCCGCCAACCCCGAACAGACAGACAGACAGACAGACAGACAAACGACAGTCACAAATATTAGTATAGAAGATAAATGCTGTACCTTTCTAAATGTGTTCAATGTTTATTTAATCAAAAGAAATCCGACTTAAATTGATTTAGATATACCGGTCAAAATATGTTATTGTTATACGAATTTTTATTTTGTATCAAACTTTGACAATGGTCGTATAATCATATATTACAATACCGGTATTGATTTAAATCACAGCCGCTGGTAAACAAGAAAACAACTGGGAAAATTTGCGAGACAGCAGGATTTCCGCCTACAATGTCATTAAATTCTCTTTGTAAACGAGTTTATATTGTTCCTTATGTACTTTTAAATTAGTTTTAGATATTAAAAACAACAACACTTTTATTAATTTTGCTATCAGAAAGAGTTAACAGGTATATTGGGGGTCCTACCAGATTATGTAAACGGTTTATTCCATGGCAATGAGTATGCATTTCTACTGGGGTTACTTGCTTCTAAATCTCTTCTTCGGGTTAAGACAGAAAATGTTTATCAAGCATTTTATCAATTGTGATATTCTCCCGTCAAAAGGCAACACCTAGTAACTCACGTTTTTCTCTTTTTGAGAAAACAAAGGAAAACGTAATGAATGAATATTAAACTCCAGCTTATCCATTGATTTGACTATTGAGTTACTAGGTTTTTCTGTGGCATACTAGGCAAATGAAGGAATTTGTTAGGTTGTGTCATGGGTGTAACTGCTTACAAAATCAAAAGATTGGAATATCTAGTACAAGAACAGGAAGCACATACCCTAGTAACTACAAATTTGGTCCTAACTCAATTTTGATTAAAAAAAAAAGTGAGTTACTAGGTTTTGAATTTTGACGGGAGTATTGTAGATACCATAATAATGAGATTTTATTTAACTCGTGACTTGCATTTTATGTCTGGGTTATTTTCAGAAATGAAATGAAATGCAATGGGGTTTAGCGTCCCTGTCAAGGGATCTTTTTCGTTCATGCCAATGTGTACACGGTGCCTCCGTCCTGCATCATTGACAAGGGGGAACCACGCCGGGAAATCTGGATGAACTTTCTCGACTCATGCAGGGATCGAACACACGACCTCCAGGCAAGTGAGCCAGCTTCTTACCCATTTAGCCGCCGTGACCCCCTGATTATTTTCAGGTTTTGAAATCAACGGTTATTTTACAGCTACGTCATTTTTTACAATGAAAATGGTTGTACTTTGCGGGAAATGAATGTGTAGCGGAGAGAACTGTGAAAATAATTAACTATCAAAATCAGAACCATAGTATATTAAATTCCGGGGGGTTGGATGGCCGAATAGTTAGCACGTGTGTGTTGTATCATAAAGTCTGTCATTGAGTCAACTGGCGTGGTTTCGATACCCCGGTTGTACGTGACAAGGAGTATGGTCGCCTGTCCAACCTCGTGGGTTTTCTCCGGGTCCTCCGTTTCCTCCCACTGCTAAAGATCCATACGCGCAAGCGACTTATTCAAATAAAATTAAACCATGTTAGTCCCGAAATGACCTAGTTTGTGTCGAATGGACGTTAAACCCCATTTCTCTCTCTCTTTTTATATTAAATTCGACACATATTCTATTTAATGCTGGAACATATTGAACAAGTCACATTTTAGAAGGGAGTGAGTTATATCTAAAACGATTAAATATCAATTAGAGACTTGAAAAACTTACCTAATTTTATACATATTAAGTATATTACTAAATTGAAAGTGTTCTTCATGCTTGTATATCCAGTATGAATTGGTTTCTTTTTGCCATGCTTACCGCGATCACTCACCAATAAATACCACTGGATTATGATTATAACTCGCTTCAAATACAAAAAGTTGATCGATCCATTTTGTACAGAACAGTCCTTTACAAAATCTTTTCGAGTGAATAATTTACTAAGTTATTTAAAGTTCGTTGGGTTTAAATCAATAAAATAATATATATTAAAGGGACAATAACACTCTTGCTGGCTTGAAAGCTCCAGAAAATAAATAATATCTCTATCTAAGTACTAGATGTTTAAGTGTCCTACCTGTTGTCTAAATTATCCATTACATCCTATTTTACTTGTCCAGAGGGTTCGAAAATATTTTTAAATTGAAGTTTCATTTGAAAAGGTTTACGTTAGACGTTTCAAACCATTATGTTGAATTTTTCAAAATTTTTAAATAAGGCGTGTTAAGATGAAATTTGTATCATCAATTAATTGAAATATTGTAAAATAGTACAATTTGTTGACCAGAATAAAGATTGGGACATATTATTCAGTTACAAGAGTGGTATTGAGCCTTTAAATGCCACACGTGTGTAGTAAATCTAAATTTATTAACAAGAAAAGAGAGAAAAGAGAGAGAGAGAGAGAGAGAGAGAGAGAGAGAGAGATGGGGTTTAACGTCCACTCGACACAATCTGGTTCATTTCGGGACTAACATCTGTTTCAGGTTTATTTCAATTATTCGCTTGCACGTATATGGCCCACGTGCTGTATAACTTGATAACGAAAGGTACATTTCACCTAAATTTTAGTTTTATAAAATAAAAGTCTGCTTTTATCCAGACACCGTATAATACTGCTTGGGACACCAGATGAAGACGGGTTTAAGTTGTTTGAAAATGTATCACGTATATTGAGTTAGTTGCTCGGCGCAAAGGTAGAGGATTTTAAGGGCTTTTAACAAATGAAATGAAATGAAATGGGGTTTAACGTCCTACTGTTCTGCTCCTAACCTGGGCTAATGAAGACGGGCATACGCCATACAGTGTGCAATGAGGGAAATTTTGCCCGGGAAGGGCTTTTAACACAAAATTAAGCAGTTTTATTCTCCAAAATATAATCGAGATTGGCACTTTAAATAAGACCCCAGACGTAGGCCAGTCACCTGGAAAATGTAATTACCATTTAATAATAAAGTTGTATGTATGTCATTATATAAACATAAATTGTGTCTGTTTCATGTTTCAATGGAATTTAATTGGCCGTTTAGATACTATTTCATGTTTCAATGGAATTTAATTGGCCGTTTAGATACTGCTTTTGCAATTTTGATACATACAACTGTGTGCCAATTACATAAAATTTCATGAGATATATTAAATATATTATCGTTTATTATATATAAACATGAACAGTAAATTTGTAATTATCAAGCTTCAAAGATCTAAAATACAATTATTAAGTTAGCTCCGTTTTGAACTTGGCTGTTTTTCATTTCATACATCGCTTTGTTGGAAATATTGTGTGAACATATGAAACGGCAACAAAGAATTTAAAACAAACTATTTTAATGCAACAAATGTCATTTCTAGCCTTGTGTTGTTTTCTCTACATAATCGCCTGGAAGTGTCACCAGATAATCTGTCTTCGATACGCTCGATGAGACTTTGATTTGGCTGAACCCCACCCATTTTGAAAAACCATGTATCCACCCTTGTGAACAGGCCCGTGGCCAGAGTTGGTGGGGTGGGGCGTCAGTAGCAAAAACAAGAAGGCCGCGGGCTTTTTTCCGTGCAGCATATCAGGGTTGTAAACTCTCGGTCGTTGCTTCAGGAACGTCATCCTCGAAAATTTCTTGCACTTGGTTGTTGGTTTTTTTTGGTGGGGGGGGGGGGAGCGTTAATCGGAAATAATTATAAACCGACAGTATAAGTTGGATATGCGAAGAGTGTGTGCGAATTATGGAGAAGGGTGAATATATGGTGTTAAAAATAAATTAAGGGAGCTTAGTGGGTAAGATCCTTACTCTCTTGCCCGCTTGGTTACCTTTTGTTAGTGGTGCAGAAAGGAAGGTGGGCAAAAACCCTTACAGTCGGAATTTGAAATAAGAATAGTCCGTAGTGCTGCTGTCATTGATAAAATACTCTGATGGCAAACAGAAGCAGATAAGAAGGACGTTAACCCCTATTTTGGTCCATAACTGCATAACTGAATGCATCATAATGGCATATCCATGGACTTAATCCTTTCTTCAACTACCCCACTGAGATGACAAATATTTGGCTCACTGAGCCAAAGATTAAGTACAAGTCAACGTTACAGAATATCACATTTTATTGTATTCTCGAACAATGATCAACTCCATGATTATGCTAATCAAAGTTTATAAAAATCCTAGTTTAAAATTTAGTCAGCTTTCCAAAATATGACTGGTCTTAAAATCGTATAATAAATATATGATTAGCACTAATCTAACAACAAAACACATACTTATGGAAAACAGTTACTAGTGTATTTAAGGCGACGTTTCGTAGAGTATTCTCTCAACGTTATCAAGCTAATACAATCTACTTTCGAAAATATGAACCAATCTGATTAAAATACAGATCTATATTTCGTTTCGTTTTGTTATACTTTCGATGGCTACACTACATTAAGATCTGATCAGTTGTACTGGGGGGGGGGGGCGTCAGGGGTCATACAAGCTGCTTTTGACCCTATAACGTCAGATATTGATTAATCAATCAGCGTTGACTTTTCTAGTGGCTTACCAACAGTTCCATGCAGTGAACACCGAGAACTCGCCGTAACAGACTGTTTTATGGGCTAATTCCTCACATCAACGAGACCGCCTGTTATGTAACAAATCCTAGTGTCGCGAAGACAACTAAAACAAAGTTTTGAACTATAAAAAAAGAAACGAAATAGGATCTATGTTTTAATCCGATTGGGATAAATATAGACATTGAAGAAGACAGTGTGTACTGTCTGATTAGCTTTACATATCTATCGAGCTTTTCCAAGATCGTGGACTTTAGAAAAGAAACAATTTAAAAAAAGACTCAACATTTTCATTGTGTGTGAGGTGAGCTATATTTGACGGGGCCTGTAACGACCGCACTATCTGCACCAGATCTGATGCTGTAAACCTCTTCTTGGCTTCTAAACACTGTTCTAAGGTTTTAATTTAAAATTTTAAAAAAATAACACTTTTACCAAAACAAGTTTCTTTAATTTCAAAATTATAGTATTTACATTTCTATAAATAGATCACAGTTATTTTATTGTACATGAAAAATATCTTTATTTTAATATCATTATATTCCATATAGCCAACCAAAGGAACGGCAATGAACAAGCTATCAACCTCTATTAGGCTTCTGGACAGGGTTTTAATTTAAATTTTGAAAAATACCACTTTATCCAAACAATATAGTATTTACATTTCAGTAAATTGATCACGGATATTTTATTGTACATGAATAATATTTTTATACTAATAGCATATAGCCCACAGCAGGATCAGCAACATCTTCAATAGAAGGCTTGATCTTGCTTTAACTACGTACATCTTTCGGCACTAATTTCGATTGGGTACAAGCCCAGCTTGTGAGCCTATCAGATTCCTCGATCGTCGCTAATACCAAGTCTCGTGCTTTCAAGCTAAAATGTCTACCTGTGATGGGGGGTTGGATGGCCGAGTGGTTAGCACGTACGCGCGCTATATCATAAGGCCTGTGGTTTCGAATCCCCGGTTGTACGTGACAAGGAGTAGGGTTGCCTGTCCAACCTGGTGGGTTTTCTCCGGGTCCTCCGGTTTCCTCCCACTGCTAAAGACCCCTACGCACAAGCGAATTATTGAAATAAAAAATTAAACCATATGTTAGTCCCGAAATGACTTAGTTTGTGTCGAGTAGACGTTAAACACCATTTCTCACTCTCTCTGTTCTTACTTCATTGATTTTCTTAATTTGATCCGTTCTCTCGAGTTATCTTTCTTGATTTATTTTTCGCATATTTAGGCTTACCAACACCTCAAGCATCAAGCCACCAACCTAATCAATTTGTCTTTACACGGATTTCAAACATTAGTACCAAATCAATCTAGCCACATTTTGTATTTAATGGTCCATTATTCGCCATATTCATATGTACCTGGGAAAGATAGTAGTCTGATAAAGGTCATCACCATTGGCCTCCACAAAACTTATTTTGAGTCTATCAGAGTTGGCATCTATAAAACATAATCCTCCTTTACTGTCCTTATCGCCAAAATGGAACTTTAAATAATTTTCAGGAACTTCCTCTTTATATTGAGTGTCACTAACAATATCATTGGCAGCACCAGAAACGATAAAATCTAAAGTTATGTCTTCTTTACTCGTCTGTAAATGCTGTGGAAAAAATAAAATTTTATGATAATTCATTAGCAGGTCTAGTGTCTAAACTTGTTTACCCGGGATAAGGAATAGTCGATCATTTGGTTTAAATACTAATCATATAATACATTAGAATAAATTACACCACAGTCAACGCCCATTTGCTGTAAAACGAAGCGTACGTCAAGTTAAAGGGATATTAGGTAAGATTAGATAAAGAGCTGACAGTTCTCGTTATAATAGTTAAAAGATAGATAATGAAAACAAAATATGCTGAAAATTTCAGTCAAATTGCTTCACTCTGAACCGAGATGTTAGTCATTTATTTAAGGCTAGCCTCGATTGTCATTAATAACGTTGGTATGAAAACAAAATATCGATTATCCATTACAAAATGTATTCAAATCCATTAAAAATTGCAGGCTAACGATGGCACCGGAAGTTGATTATGCAATCAAAGGCCTGCAATAAGCAGATTTAGCTCTTGCATAATGTATGTTTAAGTACTCGTAAGTTGTATATTGAAAGTTTATAATTACATTACTCTAACACTTCAGTGGTTGATTCCCCCTTGTCAGTGATGCAGGATGGAGGGCCTGACAAGGACAGCTGTCTAGTCGTTCGGATGGGACGAAAAAACGAGGTTCCGTGTACAAATTGGCGTGCACGTAAAAGATCCCTTGGCAGTTGGAATTCGATATAAGAGTAGGCCGTAGCGCCGCTGCCCGGGCAAAATTTCCCTCATAGCACACTGTATGGCGTATGCCCGTTTTCATTAGCCCAGTTTAGGAGCAAAACAGTAGGACGTTAAACTCCATTTCATTTCATTTTCACTTCAGTGGTTGACATGATAGGTACTTTAGATTTGGTTCAGAAGAAAATGAAAATTTGATTTTAATGTTCAGATGTTCATAGCAGAAGATTGTCGTAAGCTTCAGGCCTCGTGGTTGCCATCGTTGTCAGCAGGTTTTAATTCAGACTAATATGATAATTTTAGTTGTGCAGTTAAGCGAGGAACATAATATGCTATTGTTTTCTTGCGTTTGGACGCTTTTTATTAGAATTTGGATAATCATCCAATCTGATTAAAACACCGATCCTATTTCGTTTCTTTCTTTATAGTTTAAAATTTCCTTTTACTTGTCTTTATTACAGTAGGATCTGGAAGAGTTGATATAGTTGATGTGAGAGTTTCGCCAATGAAATCCCCTGTTGCAGTAAAACATCAACGCTGATTGGTTAATCAAATGTCGTAGGTTAAAAAGTCGCTCGTATGACCCTCGACGTGACCTCGCACTACATGTCAGATCTTCATGTAGTAGAGGCCATCGAAAATATAAAAAAAAAAACGGAACGAAATATAGACCTGTATTTTAATCAATTGGGTAATCATATTGAGCTCAGAAAACAAGTACTGAACTCAGGAGGCTCCAGAATTTGTTTAGTATATATTGATGTGATGCTAAATTTTAGCTAAACCTACGTGTACAGAATGATGAACACTGTTAGGTAAGTAGATAGTTAAACCTACCTGTAAGCAATGATCATGACCAGCGAAATGACCATTAGCTGTATATTTATATAGTAATGGCAGCAGTTTATCTTCTAAACACCTACTTCCACCATGACAGCCTATAGAATAAATAGGATGATGACCTGCAGTGAATAAATATTTGGCACTGAAAAAGAAAACAAGCGGTTGACATACACGATACGTCCACATTTTTTCGAGAGAAGGACAGGGAACGTTGAAACTCGATAGTTTAGCGACCACTCGACATAAACTAGGTCACTTCGGGACTAACATTATTATGGTTCAATTTTATTTCAATAATTCGCATGCGTGCAGAGGTCTTAGCAGTGAGAGGAAACTGGAGGACCCGGAGAAAACCCACGAGGTTGGACAGGCAAACCCATTCCTTGTTACGTACAACCGCGAAATCGAAACCACGCCAGCTGACTGAATGACAGACCTCCCACCGCCGCTTCGGAAAAGGAAGCATCGGAACGGAATAATCGATCCGCACCAAAATTATCGGTTGAGGTTCTGGCAAAACTTTAGAATGTGGCCACTGCTCGCATTAACCGTATTACACACGCAGTAAATATGGTTTAGTGCTTTCCGTATTCATCAAAGTGTACTGTGTTTGAGAATCAATTATTAATGCATAACTGAAAATGGATAGTGTAGGATATCAGTAGTCCTACTATAAATGGAGTTGTCTCCCATTAATTACTATGACAGTTTTTAAACCATAGAAATATATATATAAGTGGGTGCTCGATTCACAGTCCAGAATTCCCGAATTGACAGAATTGCCACCGAGTGACGCGGAAATGAAATGAAATGAAATGGGGTTTAACGTCCTACTGTTCTGCTCCTAAACTGGGCTAATGAAGACGGGGCATATACGCCATGCAGTGTGCTTTGAGGGAAATTTTGCCCGGGCAGCGGCGCTACGGCCTACTCTTATATCGAATTCCAACTGCCAAGGGATCTTTTACGTGCACCCCAATATGTACACGGGACCTCGGTTTTTCGTCCCATCCGAACGACTAGACAGCTGTCCTTGTCAGGCCCTCCGTCCTGCATCACTGACAAGGGAAACCACGCCGGAAAATCTGGATGAACTTTCTCGGCCAATGCAGGGATCGAACACCCGACCACCAGGCATGTGAGCTAGAGTCTTACGCACTTAGCCGCGTGATCCTCTGAGTGACGCGGAATTCAGTCCTGTCACAGTTCTATCAGTCCCGACTACGGAGGTGGTGTGAGTAGAATCGTGACGTAATTAAACACGACGAATATGTTTCGGCTGCATGGTTGGTTGATATTTACTTATCCAGTCGACGCATGCGTTGTATAGCCCGAAATACCCCTTTTTACTCGATTGTTACTATTTTTGAGATTGAGAGAATTCAATTCCGGAACGTTCAATCGAGTACCCCTATGACAAAGGCTACATATAGTAATCACGTGAGTCGGTGACTTTTGACGTCTGGTGACGCGACTGTCAAACGGCATCTTGGAAGGTGTAGTCAGTGTAAACAATATGGCGGATCACTTCGTATCCCAGTCGGCAAACCTCAGCACATACTGCACGCGGCGATGCACTACTTCATACCTCGAAAATGTATCACTGCGCTAAATGCCGTCCATTTAAAACGCTCACGTGATCATTTTGGGGTGGGACTTATCGACTTTACTGCCAATGACGCATATACTGCTTTTTATAACCGAAGCACGTGGTTTATGTAAACAAATATGTCAAGTTAGCAAAATGTCGACTTCTGCTACTTCGGTAAAAGCGATACATACTAAGTGCCAATGGGTGATATTGCAATACAGTCTTTATCATTGTAAACTGCATTAAGAGTTTCAATCTGTTTATCTTTCAAAGTTAAATACTCCTAAATTTGTCTTCGCAAACAAAGCCGCTACTGTGAACGTATCTTTCATGGGCGCCGCCATATTGAATAATTAGTGGGATATTTTGTGCTTCGGCTCTAATCCGTTTGACATCTTTCATACACACAACGGCTAAATAAACATTCAGTCAATAAGAAAATAGAAGAGAAATAAATACTTCTAAAAATTTCTAATGGCATACTCAGTGTTTTCGGCTAAAATCGTCGATTTTGGTATTAAAATGTCGGTTAATTAGGTTAGGGCCTGTTCTCAGGCGGAGCTAACTGTAAACAGGCAGCCTAAGTTTGGGAGGACCTCAGCAGATTTCAGTACTCTACATCTAGCCTCTTTCAAGCTCCCAGATTACCTTTGAAGAATGTTTTAACATACAAATATTTCAAGGTCTGAAGCTGTTTTTCTCTCAAAGTTAATCCGATTTTCTTTAGACAATGACAAATTTGCACTGAAAATTCCGCACACTCTTCGAACGACGCAATTTTGAGAACTTCTCTCTAAAAGCGGCAAGTTTTCCTAATACGTAAACCGGTGCCGCATCGCAATTGTATAGGTACATATCACTAACCATTATAAGGCCGAGGCTAGATGTAGGGTACCGGAATCTGCCGAGGTTTGCCGAGTGACTCGTATCCCTCCACTCAACCACCCACTAAAAACGATCTGCGTGGGCCCCAGTGTTTTGCTTTTGGGTGTTTTCTCCACAAAAACCACTCGACGAAAGCACGGGGTGGGGTGTAAGTTTTCACAAGTAAGTATGAACATTTAATTAAATAGGTTGACCATGCCTGTTGAATAATACAGATACAAATAGAACTGAACTTACTTGCTATTTTTGAGATTTCTTTCAATCCATTCCCATTGATTGTCCCTTTGTTCTCTGTCATCTGTTTCACATAACAACACTGTATCTATCATCAGTATATCAATGGTATCAGATGTTCCAGGTATATTAAAAGATTGTGAATGATACAGATGAGGAAAGTTCCTATATTACAGAAGAAATACCACTCGATTAATTCATCATTTCACGGCGTTATTGAATGACCTGATATAATAATCCAAACTGTATGGCCTGTGTACGTCTTAATTAGCACAGTCGGGGCCCCATTTAAACCCGATTTCATTTCATTTTCATATAAATACAGGATCGATAAAAGGCTCACCCTTATAAGGCCTACCAGATGACACCATGAAAAAGACATGGACGTGACGTGGGTACCTCTTTTGCCAGTTGGTTATAAGGACGCCTCCATCGTGATTTAATTGATACTGTTCCATCTCTCTAATACTAATGTTGATATTCAAAATGTTCAAACAGATTACGTTAAATATTCCAGGAGTAAATTCTGAACAATGTTATTGCACCAGTTAGACGTTCACATATCTTTGGATTTGGATTTTGTTTTGCGACCTTCTAGGAGCATCTTTCTCGGGAAAGGATGTCCACTGGCTCAATGGTCTTTATTTACTAAGTTATTAGAAAGGAAGGTCGTTAGTTGTTTGGGGGTGTGAAATAAGACGTTGAAATAATTACCATCGTTTGGACACTTTTGTGTAGGCGATCTGTGCTGAAACATTGCCATAGTAATCATGGTTGCCTGCTATAAGGTACCAAGGTATATTTATAGCGGCACTTGTATAAACATTCTCAAATGTATCCTGAAACATACAGGTTAAAGATACATTATTGGAGATAAGATAAAGGGCTGACAGTTATCACTATAATAGTTAAAAACTCAATACTGTAAAGGGAATTTGCTGAAAATTTAATGTCAGTCAAATTGCTCCACTCTGAACAGAGATTTTAGCGATTGAATTTTGGTCTAACCTCGATCACCATTACTAAAGTCGGTACGATAAAAAACATAGTCTCGATTATCCATTTTTTGATTTAATCATCAATGAGCGTTAAGCAGCAGATATGATTCTAATCCAGAAAATATCACAGGCTAGCGATGACATCGAGAGTTGATTATGGTCTGGATAAGTTAATTAATGTCTAATCAATAATTTAGATAACATTTCAGGCCTAAAGAAATACTTGCAATTGGCAGATTTAGCTCTTGCATAATGTGTATTTAAATGCTTTGAAATACATTTTTAAAAAGAAATTGTTTTATCTATACAATAATGTAGGCGGCGTTATGAAATGGAGAGGGATTTGTGAACAACAGAGAACAAGGCTTGTTATCTATGGAAGGGTATCGCTGCCAATATTAAAGATACATTATGTAAGATTTAGATAAAGAACTAGCCATTCTTGCTGTAATAGTTCGAACGTAGGTGACGTAAAATGAATAATTTGAAAATTTCATTCAAATTACTCTATTGCAAGCAAGATATTAGCCTTTGAAGGTTTGACAGACGTGTGCAACAAGTTCAACCACCGTACTGGTTGATCGAAGCTAAGTCTCGGTCCTCCATATTTGATTAAATCAAAGTATCGCTGAACCATTCTAATCTATTTAATATCGGAGAAAGCTGATGCCATCGAGAGTTGATTAAGGCCTGGATCAGTTAATTAATGTCTAATTAATACTTTAGAAAACATCTCAGGCATAAAGAAAGACCTGCAATAGGCAGATTTAGCTCTTGCATAATGCATGTTTAAATGCACTGCTACATTGTATTTTCCAATGATTATATGTAAAAAGTACAATGTACAAAGTCCTAATACCGGTAATGATAAAGTCAAAATACCTCTACGGCAAGAGTTAAATGTAAAACGTCAAATGTTAAGTATTAAATGACAAATGTTTTGTGGGAAAATGCTTTTTTTTGACGTGTCTACATTTTACATTTCACTCATTACATTTTACATTTGCTCTCTGCCACATCCCATTTGTCCTTCGCGCATTCTACATAGCATGTTTCGAACAGCATCAACTTTCATATGCAAATGTAGGATATCACGTGACTTATTAACATATACGGAAACCTGGCACACTATAAGCCGGAACAAGGATATTCACGACACAATAACAGGAAATCAGCCTAGCACACAATAAAAAATTCCTTACCTTGACACTTTGGATGGTACTTTACCATGATTACGGGGGGGTTGGTGTGGGGGCTGTGCAATGTCCAAATACGAAATGCCAGGTATCATGTTACATATTAGTGAGAAGCACGTTCATTTCTGTTTGTAAATATGTAAATAGTTTTCTGGTACAATCATATTTTCATAATTCAAATCCAATAAATATCACACTAGTAAAGGGGTATTCAAGTAAAAATTCTGGTCTAAATATGAAATTCCAGATACCATGTTACGAATCACTGATTGCTCTTTCCAAATATGCAAAAAATTTTCTGGTACATTCATATTTGCTTAACTTTACAAAAAAAGATTAAAGTTGAAGCGAAGGAAGAGTGGGGGGACTAGATTAAACTAAAATAAAGATACGGGGTTTAATCAAAAATTCTCTATGTCCATACTAACAAATGTGTAGTCATTTCTCTCTTTAAATATATTGTTTATTTGTTGGGTACAATGCTTATATATTGGGTTTTTTTAATGGCTCAAAGTTAATTAGGCTGTACTCAACTCTGTTTATAGAGAGACCGGAAAGAGTGGGGGGGGGGAGCGGTGTTTAAAATATCAAAATACGGGAATTAATACGAAATTCCAGTTATTGTGTTATAAATTACTGGAAAGTATGTTTCTTTGGTCGTTTGAATCTATCAATTATTTACTGGCACATTCATGATTACGGACGGTCGTCTAGATAGTTCCGTATGGTGTGCCAGCTTGATTTACTGATATCGTGCGGTGAATATCCTTATAGTGTGCTGGTTTATAGTGGGCCGGGTTTCCGTATATATTAATAAGTCACGTGATATGCTACATTTGCATATGAAAGTTGATGCTGTGCGAAAGTTGCTATGTAGAAAGCGTTAAGGACAAATGGGATGTGGCACAGTGCAAATGTATAATGTAATGGGAGAAATGTAAAATTGTAGACACATAAAAAAAAGCATTTTCCCACAAAACATTTGTCATTTAACAATTAACATTTGACGTTTTACATAATTTAACTCTTGCCTTAGAGGTATTTTGACTTTATCATTAGAGGTATTTGTACATTGTACTTTTTACATATACTCAATTGAAACGACATTGTCGCAGAGCATTTAATACTGGCAGCGATACCCTTCCATAGTTATCATCCGTCGGAACCTGGGTAGTCAAAGATACAGAGATGAAGTGCTGCAACCTGTGGCAGTGCCATTCATGCAACAGCAACACAGGGTTGCCACTTTGCAGCATTATAATGCCCGTCCATATACCGTCGGACTGGTTGGTGATTATTTGAACAATGTTAACGTTCACACTCTGCCTTGGCCTGCACGTTATCCTGGCATAAAACCCGATAGAGCACCTCTGGGATCAGTTTTATTGCAAGAATCGCAAAGGCATAGATATCCTATAAAGAGCGAAACCTGTTGGTCCGAGGGCATAGAGTTACCCCGTCCGGCCCTGGAAATTTTAATCCTGGCTTAAATGCGGGATTACGATTATAAATGCATGGTTGCAAACTGCAAACTTTTTAAAATCGAATTCGGAGGAAATTAGATACCAGTCATACAATAGGTCGTTAGCTGGTTTCCTGTCCAAATGAGTACTAAAGCCAACGAACAAGGAGGATTGATCAATGCTGCATAGTACGTACATTGAGGGGGCGCGTTTTCGGAACAGAGGGCACAAAGTCACACCCACCCCTATACCCTAGTTGGAAATCTCACCGGATTCGAGTGTTATCAACCATTTCCAGTTTCAATCGCTAAATTCTCGGTTCAGAATGGATCAATTTGACTGAAATTTTCAGCAAATTCCCTTTACATTATCTAGTGCTTAACTATTATAGTGAGAACTGCCAGCTCTTTATCTAATATCCCATAATGTATCGTTAATGTTTAACACTGGCTTATGGGAAGTACACTATTGTTAATGTTTAGATTTTTGCTCCAGACATCAGACATTCCTCTCAATAAAATATTCATCGTTTAAATTGTATTATTATTATTATTATTATTATTCGATTTATATAGCGCTTCAATACGCATGAGTGTTTCTAAGCGCATTCACAACAAAACAGTTCAAAAACATTTTTGAAATAAATATGTTTTTAAGTTAGTCTTAAAGCTCTGGATGAAGAGTTTTTGGAAGATCAAAACTGTCTTTGTCTTTTTATGGAACATGTACACGGAGTGTCAACTTTCTCTTGTCTGATAGTTTTGGGTATAAGTTTTACCTGAAATCGGGGATCATCGACTGTTTCTACTCCATCATTATAGAAATTATCACCCAGAGCCAATACAAATTCTGGATGTTCCTTTTCAGCTAGTTGTTCCATTTGCCTTGCTGTGCTAACCTGTCCTACCGTAGTGTAAGGAAACTTGTCTGTTCCTCCCCAGTCCCCAATCACTAAGAATTTGAGACTCTGGGAGTTAGCATTGGTTATCAAGTATCCTTTTAAAATGAGAAGACGATATTAAAAATAAAGTATGTATTTGTGTGTAATGTTCCCGTCAGACCTGGGTGGCGTCCTTACTGCGCTGCTGCGACCGTACGGCGACCAGAAAATACACAAGGTCGCCGGCAAACGTGAAGACAACGCGGCAAAATGTCCCCAAAAATTACAATCTTGAAAAAAGTCGAGTTCTCACAGTTTTCCAGGCCAGATCGCAGAACCTTGGCGTTTGCTTTGAACATGCCCTTTCCGACGTGGTTTCCCCTTGTCAGTGGTGCAGAACGGAGGGCCTGACAAGGACAGCTGTCTAGTCCTTCGGATGAGACGAAAAACCGAGGTCCCGTGTATACATTGGAATGCACGTAAAAGATCCCTTGACAGTTAGAATTCGATTAAAGAGTAGGCGATATTGCCGCTGCCCGGGCAAAATTTCCATCATAGCACACAGTATGGCGTATGCCCGTCTTCATTAGCCCAGTATAGGAGCAGAACAGTAGGACGTTAAAACACATTTCATTTCATTTGAACATGCCCAAAACAAACCCGTAGATTCGGCGATCATTGGCGATCATGGAGACCACAGCACGATATTTGGCGTTTCCACCACGCTTTTACGACGCATATGGCGATGTTTACGCGCTCTGAGACCATTTTCCGTTGCCGTTGCAGCGCAGTAAGGACGCCACCCAGGTCTGATGAGGGTATTATGAAGTTTAAAGGGGTATTATGCGCTTTAGGGATCTTCGCCGGATAAAATAAATTTTCCATTTGACGTGAATTGCAGTTACACCTTGCAATAAATGTAGATCCCAAACCTTGCCATAAATGATGGTAATCAAATTCTGTCAAATCAAATTCATTAATTTCATTTAAATGCCTTGCTCTGACCTGATTATGGCTTGGATAATTTGGAATATGATGGTACAAACATAGAACAAAGTATTGCCACACCCTCTATTGGAATATACTAGCGTTTGGTCAGATATGTTAAGCTATATTAAGTTCTGGAAGGTGTTCAATCTTTCTGCACTGACTCGAGGAAATACTGAACTAGCAGAGAAAGACAAAAACTGAAGTTTAAGTAGAGGATTGTTTAAGAATCAGTTGAAAAATATATATAGTGAAAAATGTGTAAAACCAAGTCCGAACAACCATGGCAGTTACAGGTCAAAAGGAAATCCTACAGTTAATCTCATTCCACTTCATTTTTATGTTATCGATAGAGCCATCAAATTCAATAGCTGGTGTTGCCTGCGCCAGCCTTGATCACCTTTTGAACTCTCCTTATTGATTAAATGATACGTTTGATCTTAGCATGTTTTCGCCTGCTTATTCCAGTCTACACGGTTTGTTTTTTTGTTGTTTTTTTGGGAGGGTCGGGGGGGTGGGATTTTGTCCTTTGTGAATCAGCTATTTTAAATTACTTCCGCTTTGTTTTAGGGGTACGGGTTTTGTTTTTGTGCATTGCGAATGGCGCGCGAAACCACTGATTTTAAAATGTTCATCGTGTCTTAAATATTAGAATTTGGGATCCCCATCAATATTCATTGAAATTGGCCAACATTTTAATTCGTGTTTTTAACTTGGAATATTATGGATATGTTTCAGTCCCTTTAAATTGATTTAAATTAATTATGCCAGTCAAAATGGAATGTTTTTGTTATACAAATCCATATTTTGTATTAAACCTTGACGCTGGCCGTATAATCACATTACAATACCGGTATTGATTTTAATCACATCTTCCTCTCAAGATCGTAAACAAATTTCATAAATAAGAGAGAGAGAGAGAGAGAGGGATGGGGTTTAACGTCCGCTCGACAAAACTAGGTCATTTCGGGACTAACATATGGTTTAATTTTATTTCAATAATTCGCTTGCGCGTAGGGGCCTTTAGCAGTTGGAGGAAACCGTGTAGCACCATGGGTCTTTTGTCTGACGTGGAGAGCGTACATTGTCAAACCGGTCGCCACATCCTACATACGACCCATGCATCTTTTCTTACTACATATTTCTGTAGCCTTGTGATCGTCTAGAATTTGTCTCTAGCTGTCTTTACTTCAGCTTCACGTTGTGTATTTACTTCTTACAGTTTCTTAAGACGTTTGTCTTACCAGGAATAATAATGCATAGTTCGCTTCTACATTTTATATAGCATATAACTGAATACAGGTATACAAGCATAGCACAAATTACAATACTATATAGCTAAAACCACTTCTCCACCCTATCCAGCCTCTCGGCTGTCTAGGAACTCAGATGTACCCTCGATCTCTGGAATCTAATGCAAGTCTGACTTACAGGGTTCCCCGGTTTCTTTTAAAGGTATATAAATATCATGCACCATAAAACGTGATCATGGCCCTGAACTTGTGTAATTAACAAAATGATTGGTTACTTTAAATCAAATGATGCAATTAAAATAATTCCACTCACGTGTAATCCTGGTGGTAAATAATTGACATATTTTGGTTAAAGAGCTCTTTTTTATATGTCAACTGTCAATTACAGACTAAGTTGATTTAGTGCACACTATATATGTGAATATGTTTGAAATTACTAACTTGCCAAAGATATTAATTAATGAAATATAAAGGCATCTTATTTCAAGAGCAAAAATTCTAGCAATATTATTACAACCGGAGGACCCGGAGAAAACCCACGAGGTTGGACAGGCGACCCTACTCCTTGTCACGTACAACCGGATTTCGAAACCAAGCCAGTCGACTCAGAGTAATAGCCAAATAATTTAAAAATTAATCACAATTATATACATATACATAATGTACAAACTGTACAATATTACAGAATTTGAATAATTATGTAAACTGCTGCTGCTTTTACGTTGATTTTCTTTAGAGAGCGGTTAGTGCTAAATGATAAGGCCAGCTCAGTTTTTCGACATAGATCACGAGATGTAAACATGGCTAGCACTAATCCCAACCCTGGACCTAGCCCCAATGCTAACCCTAGCCAATCAAAATTGAAGTATCTACTAAAATTTGGATTTTATCTTTAGTTAAGATAACATGAATACAACATGAAGAAGGAGTGTGAAATATCTTAAGCGATTAAATATCTATTACAGACTTGAAAAACTTACCTAATTTTATACATATTAAGTATCTTACAAACATGAACCTGTTCTTCATTCTTGCATGTATGGTATGACTGAGTTTCTTTTTGTCCCCAAAACCAGCTGTGCTCAATCAATACAAACTTGTTATACCTCCCTTCAAACACAGAAAGTTGGAAAATATCGACCTTTGGTACAGAATAAAGCTTTTGACAAATCTTTTGTGAGTGAATGCAATCAATACGAGAATATAATATAATCGTTTGTAGTAAATCTAAATAAATTATGAAAATCTGATTGGTGGTCAGAATCAGAAACCTGCCTATTTGGACTAATGTAGAAAGTGCATGACCTTTTCCTTCGTTAAACCGTTTTATGGCGGTAAATAAAAATGATCGTACGTTTAACAATCAGTTTAACTGGATTGAATGGGTTATATTATTTTTTTTTTCGGGTTGGGGGGGTGGGGGTACGGTGGCTAAGTGGGTAAGATGCTAGCTCGCTAGCCTGGAGGTCGGTAGTTCGATCCCTGCATTGGCCGAAAAAGTTCATCCAGATTTTCCAGCATGGTTCCCCCTTGTCAGTGATGCAGGTTGTAGTGCCTGACAAGGACAGCTGTCTAGTCGTTCGGATGGGACAAAAAACCAAGGTCACGTGTACACATTGGCGTGCACGTAAAAGATCCCTTGTTGGAATTCGATATAAGAGTAGGCCGTAGTGCCGCTGTCCGGGCACAATTTCTATCTTAGCACACTGTATGGCGTATGCCCGTCTTCATTAGCCCATTTCGGAGCAGAACAGTAGGACGTTAAACCCCATTTCATTTCATTTTGTTCTATTATTTTATATACAATTGTATGACAATGTTACTTGCTAACGGGTTCGCTCCCCGTGTTGGCCGAAAAAGTCCCATGGGATTCCCCCGCGTGGCTTCTCTTTGTCAGTGGTGCAGGACGCGTTTACACATTGGCGTGCACGTAAAAGAACCTTTGACAGTTGAGAGTAGGCCGGGTAGAATTTCCCTCATAGCACGCTGCATGGCGTATGCCCGTCTTTTACCATACTCCTCGCAGTGTTTCGTTTGGTTAGAGCTAATCCCACTAAACACTGCTTTTTTGTAAGCAAAGTTCTGTTCCAAATTATGACTGGTCAATTAGTCAAATTAACAACCAATAGCTAACTGCGTAACAATATCGTTACATTTTGAACAAAGCTCCAAATTGAACCAAATATGTTTACATAAAGTTACGTCATGACTCACGCAGTGGAGGCGAAGCCCCCCCCCCTCCCGCGGCAAAAAGTTGACCATAAAAACATTGTTTGTTTGCGTTTCAGAATTACTTATACTGACCGTTACTGGTATGTTATTGTGTGGGGTTGTTTTTATTCCAAAAGTCAATGAAATTCATGTTAAAACTTATGGCGACAGGCGGAGTTTTTTAATCCAATAATCAATGACACTTATGTAAACATAGTATGTTAACTAAATCTATACAAACCATTTTACATATCTATACTGGCTTAATTTGATCTGTCTTATTTCGAAAAAAAAAAAATAGCATAAGATGTTGTTATCTTACCCTGAAACTATGGGATCCCAATATCCAACAATATCCATGGTCTTACCATGAAACTATGGGATCCCAATATCCAACAATATCCATGGTCTTACCATGAAACTATGGGATCCCAATATCCAACATTTAAGAACATTTTAAAATCAGTGGTTTCAAGCGCCATTCGCGATGCACAAAAACAAAACCCATATCCCCAAGACAATGCGGAAGTAATTTAAAATAGCTGATTCACAAACGACAAAATAACAACAAAAAAATAAATAAATAAAATAACAATCCGTGTAGAATGGAATATGCAGGCGAAAATGAATTTTTTTACCCATAAATGGCCAAAACTGTAAGACAAAGAAATGTTGGTCGAAGACCTGCTGATTCACGAAAAATTCCAGAAAGGAATTTTCGATTGAATAATGATCAGATAGATAAACTCTATATTGAATATTTTGGCGTAGTTATAATCTACATTGGAATAATCGTTGTTCTGCCTCTTTCAATCCTCTGACCAATCTCAAACCAAGCTGTATAAGTGTGGACGTATTAAGTCGTCCGTCAACAGTGGGCCTGTTAACACGAAAATGGCCACAGTTATTAACGATTTTTTCCTTCAAATTTGGTGAGAAGCATTCGACCCCCCGACCTCCCCCTTTCTATGAAAACCTTTGTTAGCGCAATATAAAAGAATCTTTGAAGGGTTGGGCTCCTCGGGTAAAGAAGTCACGTAAGGGTAAAAAAAATTCCACGGCATATTGTTTGCATTTTCATTGAACACATACCCAAGGCTGTTCAGAAGTAAAAAAATGAAAATCTTCTACAGACTAAATTCGAAAATATGCCAAATAAAAGAAACAAAATAAACCCAAAAAAACCCCAAAAATACAAAGTTTACTTCTTCCGCGATATTCTGACATTAATTCTTGAAATTAATTAACAATTTAAGCAATATAGTATAATCCATACCATTTATCACAGACGAGACATTATGTGAAAATCGGATACTCCCGCCAAGTTCTGACGTCACTGGGAGTCTGGAAAATATAATTGGCACCTTGTGAGTATATGCACACGTTACAAGTGCTGAGAACAATATGAAATCACACATTCCAATAGTTTTTTTTATCGTAATCCTTATGAATCAGGTTCCTTTTATAACCGCTTCCAACCCATAAGGCTTTGAAATCTGAATGTACCTATTCAGATGCCTGTTCAGACCACCTGCCAAGTCCCTTCCCAGGCCTTGCTGATTGGCGCTCCCAATACTGGGGAATGTGGTCTATCACTGTGTGGCATTTGCTTGTTCTTAGAATGTCCAGTGCATCATACGCCGTCTCAAACCCAGCAATCGACTCTTTGTAGGTACTGTCAAAATTATCAGAACCTTGTAAAAGTAAAATGAAACTACTGTTAGTATCATGTTCTTGCCTAACCCGCGTGTTTCAGAGATATTTTTTGTACTAAACCAAAAGATGACACTCCTAACGGTATAGTTAATGATAAAGCAATTTAAAAAATAAAACGAATGTAATATCTAAAGCTGCTGTAATAACCGAAAAGTTAAATATTATTACTGCTATTAAATTTGAACTCAGTCGTAATGGTGTAACTGTGGTATATTTGAACGATTTTTACAATCAATAAAAATTGTGACCTCTAGAGGACCCACAAGCTAAAAGTGTGATTTTTCATACAATCAAGGGCCATAATCCAAGACGTTACGGTCCGATATGCGCCAATATCGACAGAAACCAAGATCTGTGGGTTATAAACAGACATTGTAAGTTTCATCAAAATCGGATAAAACCCGTGACCTCTATAGAGTGTCCACAACCGTGGTATTATTATGCATATATTTGTCCAGTTCAACATCACAGGAAATCACCATCGCCTGCAGTGCTTTCATGGTAAGGGATTAAAAAAACCCCATACAAATTCAATGCTGAGTAATTTTACTAACCAGAAATCACTTATAAAGCGTTTCCGACGAAAAAGACAACCGAGAGCCGCGCCTAAAGTCCTAGGACGGTAGCCCCCCCCCCTCCCCACCACCACCAATCAAGAATTGGTTCCGCCGGCCCTGCCAGTACTCTTCAACTCATTTGTGGAATACACTACCTCTTCATATTAAAGAATCAAGCTCCGTCTGCTTTTTCAATAAAAAGACTGAAACTCGAACCAGTTCATACAACACTATGGATGAAATGATGCCAAAAATGTATAACTTTGTAAGCGCATTTGGAACTCATATTACGAGTATTTATTGCGCTATACAAATTTGGATGTTATGTTATTTTATACTTAGAGTGTAACTGTTTATTTCAGCTTAGTAGCATGTGGTACCTTCACCACTTATCCGGGATGGATTTTTGGAACCCTCCCTTGCATATTTGATTGTCATTGAATGTTCTGTACTGTATGAGATGTTCCTGTTCATCTCAATTTGGTTTGATGTGTTAATTCCAATGTTTGTTTGGGGTTCTGTTGCATTTGGGGGGATGGGGGTGAGGGGATCTTTGAGGTCTATGGACCAAACACAGCTGGGTTTCCCCGACAGACATCCCTATCTAATTATGTTACACAATAGCTGTTCCTGTACTCGAATATTAGTACCTTGTTCGTTTGCGCAAAATGCTGTGGGGACAAGACATCAAATTCTATAGTTTTAACTTTAACCGAGATTTATTCAGTCTAACAAACAATCTTTAACAATTAGATAATATGACACTTTCATAATACACTAGCAATCACTAAATCAGTGACACTGTTAATATATTAATATCACACCCCTATCACTAAATCAGTGACACTGTTAACAATTAGATAATATGACACTTTCATAATACACTAGCAATCACTAAATCAGTGACACTGTTAATATATCACACCCCTATCACTAAATCAGTGACACCGTTAACAATTAGATAATATGACACTTTCATAATACACTAGCAATCACTAAATCTGTGACACTGTTAATATATTAATATCACACCCCTATCACTAAATCAGTGACACCGTTAACAATTAGATAATATGATACTTTTATAATACACTAGAAATCACTAAATCAGTGACACTGTTCATATATTAATATCACACCCCTATCACTAAATCAGTGACACTGTTAACAATTAGATAATATGATACTTTTATAATACACTAGAAATCACTAAATCAGTGACACTGTTCATATATTAATATCACACCCCTATCACTAAATCAGTGACACTGTTAACAATTAGATAATATGATACTTTTATAATACACTAGCAATCACTAAATCAGTGACACCATATAATAGCACACTCCTATCAGTTAGCTACCAATTTCCTTTATTTACCCACAGGATTCTGGCCTTCTATCCGTATTGGAAACAAGTGGTTATGATATCGTTTGGTTGGGAGTATATATGCAAATTAAAACGGTTATATTGAAGAAAAAACATATCTGGTGAATCGGTAGAGGTTAGATTGCCTGACATTACGAATTGTTGAAAAAAATACGTGCTGAAGCGAGAGCAGGT